GGAGGGGAGCGCCACAGAGGACCAGGAGGCCGCTATCTCTTAATACACACACACTGAGGAGGAAGAAGAGCAGGTGAGAAACACGCTAAAACAGAGTATGAGGGGCGCCTGGCTGGCTCAGTCGGTGTAGCGTGGGACTTGATCTCGGGTCGTGAGTTCAAGCCCCATGCTGGATGTAGAGTAATGACTTAAAAATAAACTTTAAAAAACTACATGACGAATTCGAAACAGCAGTGAACAAACTCCTCAGATGGAGGTAAGCGTGAGAGGTGCACAAGATAATGCGACTGCCGCAGCACACGGGGACTCCTGTTTCAGGCCAGAGCCGGGGGAGCTCTTGCCGCAGATCTTCCCTGGGAACACGGCCGAGCGAGGCCTGCGCCAGCACCGGGAGGACGAGACGGACGCTTACTTCCTGCCTCCTTCCCACCCTCGTAAGCACCACCTGACCAACCCGTGGAACTTTATTTAGCGAAAGAGGTCACACTGCCTGCAATTCTCAAATCCAACAGTAACATTAAAAAAAACAAACAACAAACTGGACCTAGAATACATAACAGGAGGCACCTTTTCAGGAGACAAAGATGTATTAGGTGTAAAATATTTTCTCAGAAGGTACAAAGATTACAACTTTATGTCAAATGTAACAAAGCTGAATTCCTCATAGATAAGCTGAGACTTTAAATAGGTTTACTAAGGAAAACACACACACAGTCACTAATACCTTTTCTTCAACAAGGAGTCGCAGTATCGAGCCAGCAACTCGGGGGATTTACTGGACGACTGGGCCATTTTGGTAACCGCGTTATTGTTGATGAAGCGCCCACAGGCCTGCGGAACACAAAGCAGAGTCAGAGGAACGCGGGCCCCTGTGCCGCCGGACGGCCGCTGCGCCCCCGCGCTCACCTTGTCGAGCGCGGCCACGAAACCAGCGTCGTTGTTGAACGCCGACATCACCAGGGCGTTGTATTTCTTATGAACATCCAACACCGTCTGTACGTACATTTTGGGGTCCTCAGTAGGGGAAAAACAGAAACAAAAGTTGGTTACTGGGAATTAAATGGTGTATTAACACGTTACTACAAAATATTTCAAAAGGCTTAGAGATTTCTTCAAAGATGTTAAATAAGATCAAGAAACAGTTTTGGTTCCACCATCAAAACACACAGGACATTTTGCTTATAGACATACTAACAGATTCTCCGTGCTTGAAATTAAATACTGATTTCCAGCTTGTATTAAAAAACAGTGATTCTTCAAATTATTCAAACATTCAAAGATCACAGGAAACACAATTTTTTCCAAGTGATAGTTTGCTTAGCCCATTTTTGCTGTTGTTAAAAATTCAAATTCTGGACTTTTCTGGGAAAACCAATCAGCCAGTAAGATCAGTAATCAGCTGGATATCTAGAACTTAGGTGGGCAGGTGGTGTAAAAAATAGTGTAAGACTGGGATGCCTGGGTGGCTCAGTCCAGTAAGCGTCTCCCTTTGGCTCAGGTCATGATCTCGGGGGCCCTGTGATTGAGCCCCATGTCAGACTCCCTGCTCAGCAGGGATTCTGCTTCTCCCTCAGCCCTCCCCTCTGGATTGTGTGCACGCTCTCTCTCTCCCTCAAATAAATAAAATCTTAAAAAAAAAAAAAGTGTAAGATTAAGGTTCGAGGAAGTGCAGGCAGGGGTGTGAGTGGGTCAGACAAGGCGGAGAGGGTCTGACTCGCACACCAGACCACGTTGCAAGACTGGATGTGACAGGCCAGGGCCTGGGAGACAGGCAGAGCACTGGCGGACTCGGCAGGGCGGGCAACTGGGAGCTCTGGATAAAGAAACAACATAAGAGGAATGCAATACAAAGATCAGCCACAGGAGAGGTCTGGCAGCGACGCACAAGATGGGAAGGACCGGGACGGCGGGGGTGCAAAGGAGACAGGCCTGAGTGATGGAAACCGAGCAGCTGACACTGGGGACGCACTGCATGTCAGCGTGCTAAGCCCCACACAAGGACGGTCACAAGCACGCCAGGAGGTTGCTGCCATCTGCAGTCCCGTTCGACAGGGGGAGAAACTAAGTCAGTCAGGCATCTGGCCAAGGGTTTCAGTGATGGCAGTCAGGCTTGACCCCAGGCCGCCTCACTCCCGGGCCGGCATCATCTCCACGGCTCTGAGAAGGGAAAAGGCCTGGAGGACAGGACCTGTCCACAGCGGCGGCGGCGGTGTGGACAGACAGCACCCGCCAGGAGGATGCCGGCGGCCGGCTCCTTTACGAGCAGGAGGCCCGAGTGCCGGGGGGCTTACGTGGCTGCCAGTGTCTGCAAAGTCCTGACTGATATGAATCCTCAGGTTCAGGAATGAGAAACCAGAATTCCCCAAATTCCAATTACTCTGCATCTTCTAATACTGTTTTTAAATAATGAGTAAGCACTGAGATTGAACTGTTTTCCTGTGATAGGGTTATACTAAGAGTTTCAGAGGTTTTCTGCTGAAAAATATAATAAAAATGCAAAGTTTATTATTATGAGTACACTGTGCAAGACTATAATTTCAACAGTATGTGAATAGCAGTCTCTACCTGATACAGATATTTAATAAGGGAAAACATTAAAAGGGAATGCAAAATGATTGCCAAAGAGAAATCACCTAAGATAATGGAAGCTAGGATCACATATATTTAATATCTAAAAATTATCTTAAAATGTTAAAACACATACAGCATTCATTGCCATCGGATAATCTTGTTGTTTCATGACAACTATTCCAGATGTAGAAATAGAACTCCTCCTCCAATTTTGTACTTTTAAAAAAATATTTTAGCATTCTTTTTTTAAAAAATGTATTTTTTTGAGAGAGAGAGAGAGAGAGAGAGCACGAGTCGTGGGGAGATGCAGAGGGAGAGGGAGAAGCAGATTCCCGCTGAGCAGGGAGCCTGAGGCAGGACTCGATCCCAGGACCTCAGGATCATGACCTGAGCCAAAGGCAGACACTTAACGGCCTGAGCCATCCAGGCGCCCCCCGCCCCGCGCCCCCGCACTGATGGTCTTAATTCACAAGTGCATCCAAAAGCACCTTCCAACTGGCATACATCTTCTTATTTCATATAAACCAATTTCTTTAACAATGAAAATATTGTCTGCTTGACTTAATTTTGGGTTTGCCACTGAAATTGATACTACTGTTTTTGCTAATTCAGGTTTTAGATTGCTTTCTGATCACATGTCAAATTATTTCACGAAATTCACATTTTCTTCCCTTTGCATTTCTTCTGTTAAAAGTATTTACAAAGAACTCTAGCTTATAGCGAATATCCAAGTACGGGAAAATGCCAGCAAACATTGTTGGGTAGTATTTGAATAAGGTAACATTCAAGGTTAAGGTCAGTACAAAGAATCACATGTCAAAATTGCCAGTTTAAGGACTTATTTTGCTTCCAACACATGCTATTTTTTGGAACGCCACTCAAAGGATTTACACGAAGCATATTATGTGCATAAACACACTAACATGTATTTTATTTGTAAGAAGGATGCCCTCGGCAGCAGAAAGGGCGCACCAACATTTGTAACCCGGCATTGTGAACGAGGAAGACTGATCAGATGACACTGCGTTTCCAGAACGTGCACTCTGCGTGGTTCCAGAGATGGCCACCTTAACCTTCAACTGCGTGTGAGCGCCCCTACCCTTGCCGTCGGTGGGTTCTGTTAAACCAGGAATGTGTCTGTGTTGACCATCATGCTTGCAGGAGAATTATGCTTTTCTCTGTTTTCATGATTTCTTGAACAATTTTTCTCAGACTCAGAATTTGGAAAAACATAAATGTCCCAAGAAATGCCAGGAAGGAATTCCCTGTGGAAAGACCAATCAGACAGATCTTCCCCAAGGGCACAGAAGTCTTTGGACTCCGATTCCAAGATTCTTTCTACTATAGGAGGAGACCCAGCAGCACTCTGGCTGGTGAGAACGAAGGGTCTGAAAGGACCCCATGAAGGGAAATGTATGAAGTGTCAAGCCTCGGAAACCTGAAGTGAGAATCTGAGGTCCTGAGAGAGAGAAGCCGCTTAGGAACTTGGCAAGGGCAGACAAAGATAGGAGCGCATGGGAATAATAGAGAAGAGGAGGTGTTTCAGAGAGCACCAGATTGCAGGGTTAAAAAAGCAACAGGGGTAATGAGAGAGGCGAGACTGGCTAGAACAAATGCATGTTTTCCATGAAACATGTCAATTTTTGGTGCTTAAGGAAATGAACAGAGTAGTAATTGCTTTGGTTCATGACCACCTGCTTATTCTATAGTACACGAGGACTTTCTGCTAAGAAACACGACACCTGTCAGGGCTCGTCCCTGAGGGATGTCACCCACTCCTACATGATTTCACTTGTTTGTATTATGCCAGTGACGGTCACATTTATCTCTAGCCCAGACCAGACTTCCCCGCTCAGCTCACATGACTTGCCCATGGTTGTTGCATGGAATTCCCAAACTGTACGTCAGAGCTACCCTGGTCTCCTCCCTGAACCTGCCTCTCTGCCGGAACTCTCTCCATTTCCTTTCTTTCAGGGTTTTACTGTAGAAAAATTCAAATCTCTGCAAAATTCCAAAGAATGGTAAAATCCACTCCGTGGACCCATCATCCAGGGTCAACAATGATCGAGTACAAACACCTGTCCCTCACAAAGTCTAAGAACCGGATTCCTTCTTCTCCCCACCCCCCAACCTAACCAACCCATGCTGTCTTCCGTCTGGCCACCAAAACAGACCATGCTCTTTAAATCTATTTTCTACATGGTACAGATGGTTTAAAAATTAAAAATCTGATTTTATCAATTTCATGTTTGTTACAATTATCCCTCGGTTTCCTCTTGCCCTTAGGACTAAAGCACTATCATTAACGTGGCTTTCGGGGTCTCCTGGCCTGGCCAGCCAGTGCCGACCCTGTCAGTTTCAGTCTGTGCCACTTCCCATCCTCTCAAGTCACACCGGGTTTCTGGGTTCTTGGAATGGGTCGTGTTTACACCCACCGAGGGGCCCTGCTCTGTCTAGGACCCCCTGCCTCGTCAGCTTCGGCTCTTCTACTGGTCTCTAAGACTTTCTCAGGGAAGCTCTCTGGACTGGCAGGATGGGGCGGGCCTGTTACAGACAACGCCCAAACCCCCTGGGATGCTGACTGCACTTGTGGGTCGCTGTTACTGGCTGCCGCCCCGCCCCCGCCGGGCATGAGCCCCGAGAAGCCTGCCAGGACAGCGTCTCCCTTGCTTGCAAGCACACAGTGTCGTGGCACTCACCAACTCCTTCTGAGACAGCTAATTCAGAAACACTGATAATCATGACTCAAATATTACCTTTTATTCCATACACGTCCACTAAGAAAACCCTAATTTTAAGGACCAATTTCACAAGAAGAAAAAAATGTACTTAGGAGCCTCACAAGACTTCCATCTCATCTTATCCTATCTTCCTTAAAACAGCTGCGCACATGTGGCCGAGGAAGAGGTCTGAGCATCAGTTCGTGGGGAGCTGGCGTACATTGAGACAGGATTTCTCAGGATCGCCTGTGATCCTAATATTGTAACCCTGCCCAAAGAGGGACACGGGGGTGTGACAGGCTCGAGGGGCCATCCTCACCATGTCACGAATGTAAGCGGGGGCTCCCTAAGCCGCAGCGGATGGGACCGTCCTCAGAAACGTGCCCTCACCCAGAGCTACTTCTGAGCACACCTGTTACCCACTCCTTTCACGCGGCCGGGACGACAGCGGCAGGTCTGTCACCGCCACACGGCACCCACGGGACATGCGGGGCCTTGTCAGACACTGTCCACGACCTTACCTTGAGATCATTATTCTTTGAGAAGGAGGAGAAGTGAAGTCTCCACACCACGCAGTTATTTGGGGGCAGAGTAGTTCTTCCCCATAAGCATTAGCACTTGGTCCTTGGAGCAACATTCTCCCCACACGTAACACAGAGAAGCAAAAGTTTCAGGAAGGGAACCACCACAAACCACCAACTACAGAGAAGAGCAGGGAAGGGT